CAAGTAGGACCCACCTGAGCCAGCCCAGATGGGCTATGTTCTATGGGCACCATATGGTAATATATGTGAAGTTGTATGAACAGGCAACTGAGTTTAACGACCTTAGTTAAGTATAATTATTAGTCATGTGTAAATATAAACATGAATTAAGATGAAATAACTGATAATAAATTATGCCAGAGACAGCATATGTATATTTAATTAATAACAAAATATACATATAAAATATATTAATATAAGTGAAACACAAAGAACAGATGTGACTTAAAATTGTAAGACGCTTAATAAAATAAAATAAATGGTTTTACATTTAAATGGGGAAAAAAATTCACTCTATGTAGGAGTGCTTTTCGAAATCTCGCGTTATTTAATGAAATATCACGAGGTTTTCTTAAACCGTCACCCCCATTCTGGAACATTCTTCATTTCGCGCCCTTGGACAAAGCTGACAGTTAAGCTGGCAATTTTTGGATTCAGTGCATCTTTGAGCTACGGACTTATCTGCACTAAGGGTAAGAACTTTTTTGACTTAATTTGAATCCTTAAGTATAAATGAAATGTTTACAAAGTTATGATGCTGCAAAGTAATGTATGGCACAAGTGCTGGCGAACTTTTTCCTAGCACTCAAGCAAGGCTAAGCTAGTTGAAATTTTTACGTAATGTTGGATTTAGCCAATTTTCACAGTTTGAAAGCATTGTCTGGTGTCCTGTATACTGCTTAACTAGCACCAAAATTAATGACTGCGTGTACTTAACATCAAGTTGTACTTAAACATTATCTTGGTTTTTCTCTATGATTAGTATTAATAAAGGACTGTATTAGACCAAATTAACAAAGTTCTAATTTTTTAAGAGGAAATCGGGAGGGTATTTTCACTATCAGAGCAACCAAAATTGCTTTGGTGTTGTCTTTATTAGCTTCATTCCTCATGGCTAAGTGAGGAGGGTAGGCCATGGCCATGAGCAACTAGTCCCCAGCTTTTGCCCCTGTGTCAGGAGCATGCACAGCAGTCAGAGAGGCAGATCAGTGAGCACTCTATTTCTGTAGAAGACATTATCAGTTTTCTTGCCATTGTTCTCATTTTTCCAGAAAAAGCAAATAAAATATAGGTGTTCTTGATTTGTTTGGGGTTTTTTTTTTTTTACACACACTTTAGTATGCAACTTTATATGTGTAGTTGTTTTAGTGAGAACTTAATCAGAAATAGTGTACTGACTCTAGAATCTCACTGTTGTGCAAGCTCTGGACATGAGGGAAACTGATTATTTAAGCAGAACTGATCAGTCTTGTTAGGGCCACAGTGCCAACTCCTTTTACTATGATTGCTGTGGCCCTCCTTTTTCCTTTTTGTAATGTAGATTTAGCTAGAATCTACACATTTATTTATTTATAAAAAAGAAAAGTAATTGCTCTTTGGATGTGGTTCTAAAGATCTGTGATCTTTAAGTGTTTGTCTGCTGCCTAATTTGTGCATGTGCACTGTTATTTTAATTTGTTTAATTATGGCTTAAGTTTGTTTGAATTTTGTGCATGCTCCTTTATCAGCCTTCCTGCATGGACAGCTTGTGTGGTTATTGGCCAGGAGGGTTTGCAATTATCTCAAAACTTTAGATGTTTGTTGTTTTGATTATGACTTGGCTGACTATGGCTACTTATAAATTGCATAGTCAAACTATTACATTAATATGTTATTAATATTTGTATATTGGTTTGATTTTGCTGTTGGACAGTGGAGTGAATAGTAGCAAGGGTTATGTGTGGTTTATTTCTTTCTTTATTTTTACAGACTTTGACATAAGAAGCAGTGTATATTTCAAAATTCATTTCTATTCAAAATTTGATGCATGCCAGATATATACTAGTAGGAATCTTTTTTTGGGTTTGTAACAATTAGAATTGTTACTTTATAAGGCGACGTCGGGGTCTTTTATTGTAATAGAACAGCTTTTAAGGATGGTGTAAGCATCACAGCAGATGTCTTTATGCCTAAGTAACTGAGGATAAAACACAGAAACAGGGACAGTAACTGCATGTGTATATGTAAGCGTGTAAACACTGCAGATGGTAAGATTAACAGCAACAGTATTTATTTATTGTAGAAATTAATCTCATGTAAACAATAACGTGGCGCACAGCGTGACGTCAAAAACGCCACACATCTTTGACGTTGCGTGACTAAATCTGCGTTTTCCTCATCCATACTTAAACACAAAAACTGAGTTTTCGAAACTCTCCACCCTGGCAGGAGTTTTTAAAAATCTCTGATTTCAGTGACCCAAATGCCGTTTACGTGTGGAGGAAAGGCCCAAACGCATAGAAAAATCTGCGTTTTCAAAAATACCCGTGTACGTGTGGACGTAGCCGGAGCCTTTCTGGCAAAATACATTTAAATTTAAAAGTCAATTCAGGATTTTAATGAATCCATATCACTTAATTCTAACTAAAATCAATTTTAATCGGAAAATCGGTTATTGAAACCTACCCCTAATTGTGAGTAAGCTTGTGAGATGGTTCAATTCAATTCAGTTTTATTTATACGACACTAAATCACAACAACAGTCGCCTCAAGGTGATTAATATTGTAAGGTAGACCTATAATAATACATACTGAGAAAAATCCAACAATCATATGATGCCCCTATGAGCAAGCACTTTGGTGACAATGGGAAGGAAAAACTCCCTTTGCAGGTGCTGTGCATAGTTCAAAGGCTGCGTTGCTGAAAAATGGAAATAAATCATGAGCTGAAAATAATAAAGATTGATGTACTAGAGCTTATTATATAGAACTAGACCTTTGCCCGCCCACATTGACTTCTAAATATCTAAAGCTAAACTGAAGGACCAACAGCACAAATCCCCACCAGAAGATGATTGTTCCTATATTTCTGATACACAAGTGACAGCCAAATGCTAAAGTGAATTAAATTTAAGAAAATGGCCTTATTAACCACGATTAATAACATGTAAATGTGCTTTGGATAGTTGTCAGGCCGCAATAATATTTCTGAGTAAGGACCTGTTGATGTAGTTAGTGTAACCTATCCAAGCTGTTACCCAGGTGACTGAAAAATACTACATTTTATCATTTTTATACATTTTATCTTTCAGAAAGCAATGGAGCAATCTGAGAGGACAAAGAGAAGAAAATAGCTGCGAAAGTTGTTGAACATTTACGTCTCGTTTCACAGCAGAATGAGTCAGATCATCATCAGGACTTAATTTTTTTGCTCGGATTCTTTTGAGAATAAACCCCGTGTAGAAGAGTACCATGATTGCGATGAACATGCTGGAGTCAGTTCACAAAATGAACAATCTGCAGACATTTTTTATGATGCTTTGGACTTTGACGTGTTTCCTGAAGACTCTGAAAGTGGGGTGTCTGAGTTTAATGAATTTGATCTGGACAATGACTGTTTCGATTCTGATGCTTTTTCAGACACACCAGATGATACAAAAGGACTTGCAGAGTGGGCTGCAGAATACAATGTGTCACATAATGCTTTGTCTGCCCTTCTTAAAATTCTTAGACAGAAAGGTCTTAATGTACCACTAGATGCTCGAACATTGATGTCAACTGCCCGCAAATGTAATGTGATAAATGTGGCTGGGGGATCATACTACCATTTTGGTTTAAAGAATTCAATTGTTGCAGCATTGGAGCTTTTAGATTTTGATTTAAAGAAACTAACAAACAATCTAACACTTAGAATTAATGTTGATGGTCTACCTTTATTCCGCAGCAACAATGTTAGTCTGTGGCCTATTCTGGGTAGAATCAAGGAGATCCCAAATTGTGATGTTTTTGTGATCGGGTTATACTCAGGTACAACCAAACCTTCTAATGTACAGGAGTACTTGAATGACTTTGTACAAGACGTAAGGGCAATTATACAAGATGGAGTTCAGTATAATGGTGTCCATTTCAGTGTTGCTGCTCCAGATGCATTCATCTGTGATGCACCTGCTCGTGCTTTTCTTAAATGTGTGAAGGGACACACTGGCTATTATGCGTGTGAGCGGTGCACTCAAAAGGGCATGTATGTGAATAGGAGATTGTGTTTTCCTGAAATTTCTGCTGAGCAAAGGACTGATGAGACTTTTCGTGCTATGGGCTACAAAGAGCATCAGGTTGGGGTGTCACCTCTGAATGAGTTGGGTGTGGGACTAGTCTCAGGTTTTGTGCTGGACTATATGCACCTTGTGTGTCTGGGGGTAATGCGAAAACTTATTTATCTTTGGTTAAAAGGTCCCGAAAATGCAGACAGTCTATGCAAATTCTAACCGTGATTTCAGCATTCATGGTTTCTGTGAGGCAACATTTGCCTAAAAGTTTTGCAAGGAAACCAAGATCTCTCCTTGAAATTAGCATGTGGAAAGCAACTGAATTGAGACAATTTTTGCTTTACACAGGCCCAGTTGTTTTATTTAATAATATACCAAGCCAAATGTATAGACACTTTATGCTTTTATCTGTATCTATAAGAATTCTTCTTAGTCCTGATTTGTGTATTGATAACTGTGATTATGCAGAGGATGTTTTAAAGCAGTTTGTGAAAGATTTTGGTTCGATTTATGGTCTTGAATTTGTTGGTTATAATGTACATAATTTAATACACCTAGTTGAAGATGCGCGAAAGTTTGGACCTTTGGACAGTATTTCCTGCTTCCCATTTGAAACCTTCCTGGGTAAACTGAAAAAGATTGTGCGGAGGCCTCATAAACCTGTGGAACAAATTGTCAAGCGCGTCTATGAGACGCAAAGTATTCAGAAGAAAAGAAAAGAGAGGATGTCTGTTCCCTCTCCTCTTAAACAGCCTCATAACTCTGGACCAATAACACGTGATCTTGGAACTTTTAAGCAGTACAGAAAATACACTGATGGACAGACATATGTTTCTTGCTCCATGGGAGATAACTGTTTCAATGTAGGGGGAAAAATTCTTATCGTGGCAAACATTTTACAGGATTGCCAAGTTGTCAAAGCACTGTGTCAGGTCTTTGAAAACTGTAATGCCTTTTTCAGCTATCCATTGGACTCAACATGCCTTGGAATTTACTTTGTTTCAAATCTGTCTAAACAAATGAATCTTGTATTACTTGATGAACTAAAACAGAAAATGGTGCTTTTGCCACTGAAGTCTGGATATGTGGCATTGCCACTGCTGTACTAGTTGGCTTCTTTTTGCTTTCTCAACAGCATGCTACCATTTGCAGTTGTTGATTTTCTGGATGGTGGAGGTGTATCCATAATTCCTTGCAAGTGGTTTACAGGACCAGCGGAAGATTCTTGTTTCTGGCCACCAGGGAGAGTCAATATCAATAAGGCTGTAAAGGATGGAGTTACTCCAGATGCAAACTGGTCACAGTACAGAGTTCGCATCTTGGGGAAAGCTGGTAAGAAGCATTTTTGTTTATTGCTACCAAATATTCTGTCATTAAAGACAGAACAAAATATTTCCCTGTAATTTCACTAACAACATTTTGTTGATGTATGTCAAAAATTTACAGAAAACTATGAAAATGCCAGGGTGAAACTGCGGAGGTCTGAAGCAACCTCTGATCTGCAGACTGAGTCAGATTCTGGAAGCAGATTGGGAAAAGGGAAGCAGAAAAGGAGGTAATTATGTTTCTTAAAAACGCCTTAAAAGAAACAATTCATTGTGGTGATTATAAGAAAAACAAAAACAAACTGACAGTATCTTTAGCAGACTATTGCTGCTCACCAGATTTAGATATGATCTTAAAATAGCACTTTGTACCTTTTTGACTTTTAAAAATCAGTTTTAGACTCTTTTTGATGCCGGACTATACATTAATGTTTTTAGTTTGTAGGACTAACCAGTAACTAAATTGTTTGTGGGGTTTTTAAATATTTTTTAAAATTCATTTTAAGGCCAGTGATCCAGTCAAGCTCGGATGAGGATTGGGACAACGCTGCGGAACGGCCAGAGACCTCATCAACATCAGCAATGGAGAATAGACATTCAAGTGAAACTCCCCACCAGAACGTCACTCATCCATTTGTTCAGCTACCACCACCCTCAACTCCTTCACCTGTGGTTTCACAACCAGTTCCAAGACAACTTGTACAAGCCACCAATACTAGCATGTTTGTACGTGTTCTAACCCTCCTGGAAGACATTAAGGAGACTCAGAGGATCCACAGTCGAATGCTACAGTCTCTCCTCAAACAACGTGATGGACCAGTTGCTGCAGTATTACCCGAGGGTGCTGTTTTTCCTCTCCGGACAGTCGCAGACGTGGAAGCACTGGAACAAAAACTGATAGACCCTGTCTTCATGAAAGAAGTGGTAAATAATAATGATGTAATGACAATAATTGATTAATGCCTCAATCTGCGTTTTATGCTAGCAGTTATGATTAAGGAAAGTTGGTGTTTGTTCAAACATAGTCAGTGCAATGAAGTAGTGGAAGGTGAGCTCCACAAAAGTTGCTGTTTTTGAAAATAAAATAAGTTGTACTGTACAAGTTGTGCCACACCAAACCTTAGGAAATTACTTTTGCTGGATCAGTCATTTAGCTCTTTGCATTTACATCAGACAGTGTTTGACTTTGATACTGAACTCTTTCTCAGTCAAATAGCATCAAAATTATTAATCCTAATTACTGTGTAGCTGTGCAGGTTTCTTTTAGGTGTGACTGATGGTACTACTGTCGGTAAAATTATTGTCCTTGTGTGTCCTAAGGTTGCTGTTGTGGCAGAGATTGGAGGGAGCACTGTTGATGAAGCCACCAGAAGAATGATGGCCTTCATTATGGACAACGCTCTTTCCAGGCAATATAACTTCGTTGGGCGCCATGGAAAGCGGGAATTTCGAGGGCTTAAAATTTTTGAAGTGCTATATGGTAAGCTCATTAGTTGTAAGATATTTTGTTGATGTTTGAATAACAGATGCTCACTTCAGCTGTAGTCAGTCTTACAATCAATTTAATCACTGATTTAAGGTTTTTATACTTTGGTTCTACATTTATGTGAGATCTTATGCCGTGTCACAGTATAAATATAAGTATGTAACAAAAAAAAGATAATTACAGCCGTGTCTTTAGATTCAGTAATATAGTCGCACTTTCTTGTGGTCAATATCTGTGCTTTACAGGCAGCTTGAAAAAAAATGCTCTTACAAGCCAGATTACCAGAAAAGAGGCAGAAAAGGCAGCATCCAAGTGGTTTATTGGTGCAAGAGATAGAGGAGGAAATCGCATGGCAAGGGCACAGTGTCGCGTGCAGGAGAGGTATACCTTAGTGACTCGGTTTAGATAGACTGTGGAGATGAAATTAATTACAAATACTGTATTGTTGAGGGAAATTATGTTTGGGGTTTTTTTTGGGGGGGGGGCATCAGCTCATGTTGTTCTGGAGGGTGATGCCTGCTGCCAGGAATGACCACATATTTCTTTCTGGTTTGCAGCATACTTGAAGGCAGCTCTCACTAAACCGTTTTTTGGTTCCTCACTGTGTTACGGTATGTGAACAATTTCCAGTTATGTTTATCAGTTTGTGCAAGGAAGAATATTGCACAATCAGCTCCAGGAAATCCAGCGCCAGCCAGTCAAACAACTTCATCAGCACAACTTTCAAAACAACTCCAGTAGTATTGCAAATCTGATGTTATTTGTGAAAAAGGCACTTTTTTTTCAGGACCAATGGATCAGTGAAGGAGTGAGAAGCTGTGTTTCAGTACATTTCTTTTTCTTTTAAACTGTATAACATTGATTTGTTATTGTTTTGTGTATACTGGGGACCTTTTTTGTCAACATGCTGTCTAAACAAAAAAATATTTGTATAGTATATAAAAATTACTGTTATACTGCATACTGTTTTAAAATGTCATATTAATCAGTATTAATAAAAAGATAAACTGACTTTGTTGTACAGGTGATTTAAATTTTAGCTTACTGTAGTATCCAAAATCCCATCTGGGCAAGCACACTTGGGGCCACCATGGAAATGGAGGACAAAAATAGCTGTGTCCCAGGTGGGTAACCCTGGTGGCCCCAAATATCAGACCCACTTCTATGGATATGGGTCCCACACATGTTTTTGTGGTTGGATCTGATTTGGGGCCCATCATTAACCCATCTGGGCAAACACATTTGGGGCCACCATGGAAACTGAGGACAAAAGTAGCTGGGTCCCAGTTGGGTAACCCAGGTGGGCCCCAAATATCAGACCTGCTTCTAACCATCTGGGCCTCACACTCGTTTGTTGGCTGGGCCTGATTTGGGACCCATCCGGGGCCCATCATTCACCCATCTGGACAAACACACTTGGGGCCACCATGAAAACTGAGGACAAAAGTAGCTGGGTCCAAGGTGGGTAACCCAAGTGGGCCCCAACTATCAGACCCACTTCTACCCATCTGGGTCCCACACTTGTTTATTGGCTGGGCCTGATTTGGGGCCCATCCAGGGCCCATCATTAACCTATGTGGGCAAACACATTTGGGGCAACCATGTAAACTGAGGACAAAATTAGCTGGACCCCAGTTGGGTTTCCCAAGTGGGCCCCAAATATTAGCCCTGATGCTCCCTATTTGGGCCCCACATATGTGTGTTGACTGGGGTAGCTATGTCTGTTTTAGTTTAAGTGCTTCTTTACATATAGATGAACTGCTGGACTTCCTCACCATGTTATCTAGGGTGAGGGGAGACTACCCCGTTTCCTGACCAAGGATGTACCTTTTGTGCTTTCATGACCCTTTGATCAGCAGGACACACACACACACACACACACACACACACACACATACACACACCTACTGAAGTATAAATAAAGATCGGGGCAGTTTCTCAGCGCGAGTCTCAGTCTGGAGGCTGCCCTTGCTAGCAAGAAGTTCTGTGTGTTTCTCTTCTCTGAGTCTTTACTGAAAAAGTGTTTTAGAATATATTCCTTAACAGGTAGGTACCAGTCGGCAACAGGAGACATCACTGATTGGATGTCCGCGCTGTTCGTCTTTGGAACCGGAAGTTACTCTGCCTGTAGCGCATTTCGTTTGAAGAAGAACGGCGGAATGTTTTGTTTGGGAAAAAGCTGGTTGAGGAGTCACCGAACTTTTGCAGCGGCTGTGGCGAGAGGCTTTATCACGCATCTTGCATCGGAGACACTTCACTCCCATTGAGTAAGCTAATAAGAATAATAAAATGTTTGTTATTTATTGATTTATTAGCCTAGCGTTAGCTGTTTCCAGACCATAGCAGACCAGAGGGCTGTTCCACTAAGCAAGCTCAGAAAATCGAGGCTCATTTGAATATGCACGCAGCTGTCAAAATGACTGCTCAAGACCTTTCTAGTAGTGAGAGGTCTACTGCTAAAAAAAAAGGAGTCTATGAGCCAATAAAAATTATTTTCTGATCCCGTTTGATGTGTGCCATGGATTTAAAATATGATGTCCGTGAAGTATATAAACACATTTTGATGCCATAAAGTGCTTAAGCGACAGGTGGCAAAGGTTATTTTAGGTTTTGTTTGAAAAGACGTGGCGAAATGTAAATGTTCGTCTCACAAAATTGACATCATCGAACCAGACACAGAGAAGAGGAAAAGCTTAGTTTTGTTTAGCGAGCTTCGAATCCTTCTTCCAGGATGATGTGGAGAAAACCACTATAAATCTGGCCATGTGATAATTAGCAGCTACGCTGGGGGAGAAAAGCTTCTGAGGCGACGTCATATTTGCGACATCTGACTTGTAGTCATTTTAATGACGAATTTTTACAAGCTAACAAATCTCAAATTACATTACAGACATAGTCGAAACACGATTTTTTATTATTTAAATTGAAGCACAACATATGTGTGATTCAGAGAGTAAGGCAAAGCAGACCAGAAAATAACTTTTATAGCTCCATTCACTTCCATTCATTTTTCTTTTGTTCAGGGACCCATGAGCAGACCAGAAGGGAGGAGACTTAGGCTCCCTATATTAAAATAATTATCAATTGGTCAAATATGAATTTTCATTCATCCTCATTTCTGTATTTCCAGGTCATAGATTTGGAAGAAGAAAACGATACAGGCACTACTGAATGCCTCACTGTCGAGAGCTCCTGCTACAGGTGCATTGTATCTTGAATAATTATTCCAGAGGGTTGCACAAAATATATACACACAATTATTATAAATGTATGTAGTTTGACTCTTTTACATTAGATTCTTCAGAAAAAAAAATAGTAGAATCGTTCTATAAAACTGGAACTGCATGTTTATGCATTTGTCTTTTTGCATCTACACTTTGTGTACATGTTTTCACTCTGCAGAAACTACACACAGCTGTTTGAACCGATTGTGATTGATGATGAAGATCCTACTCCTAACGAAGCCAAAGCTGAGCCCCCAGAAGAACCTGTGTTAGTAATTTAAACATTTGAATCCAATTAACCGCCATCTTGTTCTGTACAAGACATCATGCAATCAGTATATACACCTTTAAAAAATAAGTTTCCCTTTTTTTTTAGAGACACCAATTTGCAGGCACATGAAATTATTGCAAATTTGGCACTGGAACTTGACCACAAGAAGGTCAGCAGGTTCAATATATCAAAGTCAGCTGTATGGGATGGAGCTGTTAGAGGATTTGGACGCAGCACATACTCTGACAACTACGACATGTTCATCAAGTTCAATGATGATGCTGGCAGCTTTGAAGAAGTTTTGGATACAGGTGGCCCGAGGCGTGAATTCCTCACACTTCTTATGGGCAGTCTGAGAAATCGCCCCATCTTTGATGGACCTCCAGAGAACCATTATCTTGTATATAATTCAAGAGGTGGATGTTTTCTCCGTAATTATTACAATGGAAATTTTAATAAAAATTGGCTTATTTTTTTTCATTAGCATATTTAATAGCAATTAACCATGATAATTATGGGCCCTGTATAACAGCTGCCAGGCAAGATGAGTACTTTTTAGCAGGAAAGATGATCGCTGTATCCATTGTGCATGGGGGACCAGCACCACATTTCCTCTCCAAGAACCTGGTCAACCACATCACAGGGAATCAGAGTTTCAGCGCCACTGTAGAAGATGTGCAAGATGAGGAGATCACAAAAGTTCTACATCAGGTAGAAAATTACCTAGGCTCAGGGAATGGGTTTATTTAGAAGACACTTGGGGCCAGTTTAAAAGATTTAATCAGGATAAAAGTTATCCGGGTTGGATCATATCTTGAAAGTAGGTTCAAGGTAGATTCTGTAATCTGAAAGGACAGATTTCCACCTCCCAACAACACAAGTGAAATAACAAATTGATTATTTTTTTAATCCAATGTTTGAATGAATCGTTAAAGTAGTGAAAATTATATTTTTGTTTTTCTTACAGTAAACCTTTTTTTTTTATATAGGTCCTGAAAGCTGAATCAGAGGAGTCTTTGCATAATCTTATTTTGCAAAACAGCACAATCTTCTGGATGCTGCTGGATGCCTCAGAAACGTCAAGCCTTGTGAGAAACAAGCATTTGTGGAGGAGTACCTCAGATGGTACATCCTTGAAAGAAACCAAAGTGTCATTCAACGGTAAACTCATTACTCCTTCTAAATTCACGATGGCCAGTTGCTCATCACAGCAGCCACTGACATTTTCAGACCTTCAGATGAATATGAAAAAACTGATTCAGTAGCATCCGTGTGATCTGATGAACAACAAGTTAATTCCTGAGCCACTGTCGCACGCTAATAACCTTTTGACACTAGAACTCTAATTTAGTATACATTTATTGTTCACAATGACCCATAATAATCATAGTCATGCAACATGATTAATTTTTCAGTTATTTATAAAAAGAGGTGATCCCTTGTTTGACACACTTGTTTATTCCAGTGTGAAAGCACTATTTTTTTTTTAAATGCTGAAATCCCGATGAGCTCTTCTTTTTTTGCTGTCACAGTTAATTTCTGAGCACTATGAATTGTTTTTGTGTATGAGTGATTCTATGCATTTGAAAGCTGTGCAAATTTGTAATGAAAGATCTAGTAGGTAAAGATATTTAAACACAATTTAATAATAATAATAATAATGTACACTTTTATTGATCCCCGTGGGGAAATTATTCTCTGCATTTAACCCATTCACTCAGTGAAGCAGTGGGCAGCCACCAGTGCAGCGCCCGGGGATGGTACCTTGCTCAGGGGTACCTCGGGGTAGCCGTTCAGGGGATTCGAACCACTGACCTTCCGATCACGGGTCAACCACTTTACCTACTGAGCTATCCCTGCCCCCCCCTTTTTTTTTTATTTTTAATAATGTAATTTTAAAAATTTAGAAGACTGCAATAGTTATAGCTATATACCAATTATTAGTTATTTGTCTATCCTTTGCAGATTTAAAGATGGACTGGAAAGTCTGAACTTTTTTAAGTGCACTGCAACAACATTCCAGTGTGCTGGCCCCACTCCTATGCTTCTCTGCCAAGGCCCTGACTGCTTCAGAACTGGAGAGCATGTTCAGACCAGATCTCAGCCCAGCAGGAAGCAACAAGCAGCATAAGGAGGTCCTAACACTTGGCTTTTGGGCAGATTATCTCCTTGATAGTGAAGGTTTGAATGGCCGTTTTTATTTGTTTATAGTTTTATGAAAGGAGAGGTAAGGAAATTAATTTTTTGTAATGTACTACAGTGTTTACTTTCTTCTTTCAGAGAAGGCAACAGCAGTGTGTCTGGGCTGACGGCAGTTCCACTGGCAGGAATGACACCACCACCATGCATCCAGTTTTTAAGTGATTCGCCTTTTCCAGTTGCAAACACCTGTGCAAATACCCTGAAGCTACCCATCTGTGACTCATACAGCATCTTTAAGGCCCACATGGACTTTGGAATTCAAAATGCTCCAGGATTTGGATGTTCTTAAATTAGCAAGGTCATCAAGTTACAGTTACTGAGTTACCCTGTTAGGTTCAGCTGCCGTTGGCACACTACAAGCAACTTCCATATTGTTAAACATTTAGTTGTTTTAGTTGTTTTTTCTGAATATTGTGTATGTTGGGAAAGTGACAGAAATGCTGGACACTATTTGTAAATGGTTATTTAAAGAAAATTTTAAATGTTTCCTTGTGGTTAAATGTTAATATTTAAATCCATGCCAGTTGCTGTATATTATGAACAATATTATATTCAATTTAGCAAGAGGGAAAGGAAACACTACTAACATTAAAAAATGAAGGAAAAACAGAAGGGCTGGAGCACTCAAGTAAGTCCAAAGGTTTTATTAGGTGCCAAAAAAGGAAAGAAACTAACGTTTCGACACCGTGTGTGTCTTCGTCAGAGTAACTCTGACAAATGTCATTACAAACTGAAGTTCAGTTGGTATCTAAAACCCAGCTATGTCCTTCAGGGCCAAATACAGTTCTGTGGCCGATTCCCAGTCTTGTGGCTGCTGCAGTGTGTTTTGTTGTACAGCCTGTTGTAAATATTCCTCAATGTTTGGCTCACCACACAATCCAACGGGTAGCCCCTCCTCGGGAAACACATCCAGTGCCCTCTCCTCAACAGCAAACCCACAGTCTCTTGAACCATATCTGCAAAATGAAAATAGAACAGTGAAGGACTTTTGCTGACAATATGGAACTATATAAATCAGCACATGCAGTGACATGTTATAAACTGCTCTATCATACTTATCTGTAAAATTATGAATATATATTAACCAACTTAAGCAATAACAACACCTTGCATTTAGTTTGATGCAAAAGGTTAATTAATTTTGTTAAGAACTCAAATACCTGTGAGGCAAGAGAGAGTTCGTTTGGAATCCCCCCTGGACACGATGCAAGTCTGCTTGGCCGGATCCTGTGTTTGTTCCAGAGGTCTTTGCATTCATCCAGGTCTTTCTGTAGAACCCCTCTGAAGCAGAATCTCAGCAAGCATTGGTGTTCGTGGCTTCCATTTAAGTTTCCAGAGTCTCTTAGGTCTCCAAACAAGTCCATCCAAAACTGAGACCTGGGTATATAATTAATATTTAAGAATCAATTTAGCTTTGTTCTTGGTCATTTTATAGGGTTTGTTACATTTTGGTCCCATTTAAAACATGCCACAAATGGATGTCAAACAAAGTAATGCATATTAGTTTCCATAAATATTGTAGCGACCCTGCAGTAATGTTCTTGTTAAAAATGCTGTATTCTTTTCACTCTGTTCTGTGTGTTGATTGTGAGGAGTGAAGAGTTTGGTCTGAGTTTTTCATTTTGTATTGGCGTTGTTAAATCTAGGCAAAAATGCTCATTTCGGCACAACGGCTGACGGTGACCATTTTGAGTTCCTGCAATAAAGTGACGGCTGTTAACGTCTATCTCATCCAACTTTTCAACACGTCCAGCAGGACGCTACTCTATTTTCTTAAATGCATGTAAAAAAAAACCAATCTGATCAGCTTCCACTGTAGCTTACACCTACCAGACACAAATGTACCCACCTTCCTCTTCTGAAATAAGACCACCATGACTCGATGCGCTGATTCCCAGTAGATGATCCGTAACTGTGGCTTGACGATCCAGCATAATAGTCCGTGTGCGCGTGACGGAGGGTACAATGTATTGCTGCCATAGTCCCATTCTCAGGCCCGAAGTCTGTTCGTAATCTCATTGGTATCACACCAAGACTCTTTACACAGTTTATATAATTGTGAGTTATAACAGCCGGGTTGTTGTTTGTTGCTCCACACACAAGCCACATCAGTCTTCTTGAAAAGCCATCTATACATCCTGACAGGGCCAAGCCAAAGGGTTTCAGTTTATCATAGCCATCTACATGCCATATGTAATTGGGCCCCACCGATACGTGCGTGTTGTGAACCTCCTTCGAGTTCTCAAAGCGATTCCTTGAGGATTTAGTTGTCTCAACAGCCTCATAACTACATCACGCTTGACACGCAGCTTGTGTTTTTGTTTGAGAACTTGCCACGTGGTCCGATATCCAAACAATTGTCCTGGTCCTCGAAGCTCGGACAAAATGGCACGCCTCACCTCAGGAAGTGGAGAATAGTTGCCTCGTCTGTACAGTCCAGATTCTTTAAATTGCGCTTTCAGTGTACGCATACTAATTGAAATGTCACGATTACACTTGAGCATATCCAGTATCACCTCGTATGTATGTCCTGAATCAAAATATTCTCGAATAGCGACAGCTATGTTTGGGTCACCGCTAATGTTCATGTTTGAAAAAATGCGCTACAGGCAGAGTAACTTCCGGTTCCAAAGACGAACAGCGCGGACGTCCAATCAGTGATGTTTCCTGTTGCCGACTGGTACCTACTCTTTCCGGTTTTCTTAATGTAATTGTGCTTCTCAATTTGTTTTTGTGATTCTTCTTTTGTTTTTGTGCTTCTTAATTTGTTTTTGTGCTTCTCAATTTTGTTTTTGTGCTTCTTAATTTGTTTTTGTGCTTCTCAATTTTGTTTTTGTGTTTAGCAATTTGTTGGTGTGATTTGCACTTCAGGGCCACCGTAGTAATGAGCTGCACTGCAGTTTTTCAGCATACAGGGCAGCTGTGGCTCAGGTGGTAGCAGCTCATCTACCAACTGGAAGTTTGGTGGATTACTCCCTGGCTCCAAATGCTGAAGCTTCTTTGGGCGAGATGCCTCCATCAGAGTGTGTATTAGACAAAGCACTCAGACATAGATAAAACAATTTGTGTGGATGTTTGAATGAGAGTTGTAAAAGAAAACACAACTGAATACAGTAATGTTATAAAAGTACTGGTCCATATGGGTCACATGCTCAACACATTGAGGTATAGTGTCACAACTTATGTCCATCTTTTAATACACTCTTTTGCTTCTCCACTCTGTATTTCCCCCTCTTCTTGTGCCAGAGTTCACAGATGTTGGATAAAGGTGACAGAGTTTAACTGCAAATATTACAAATGAGAATCAGTTTGTTTAGTAATGTAGTAAAATAAGTCTGCTTTTTCACCCATTAAAATGATTTTGTTTTAAAAAACAACAAAAACATGTGAATCACTCTGTCCTGTCATTAACTCTTTCAATTTTCTCAGAACAAGCAAGAAAGCTGGATACTGAGATTGACCAGCTGAAGTTGCAGTCAGAAGGTATTGTGTCGATTCCTTCTATAGAAATATTAATATATTTGTTATATATATTGTTTGAGCCACCTGTGCTAGAATGTTCACAGCAATTGCTGTTGGTTACCTTGGTGTCCTGCTCTAAAACATGAGCACACAAGTGGTTAGATCCAGCTTTTACATACAGTCTACTGTCAAGTCTAAGTGATGGAGAGAGGGAAACACAGAGTGGAGAGTACACACACTGGATAAAGATGACAGAGTTTAACTGCACAGATTTCAAATGAGAGTCAGTTTGTTTAGTGATGCAGTCAAACAAGTCTACTTCTTCAACCATTCTCCACCCAGCACCTGTAGGAGGTGTGGTCCTGTGGCT